CAGCCTTTCACATAGCTGGGGTGACAGATGTGCACCATCACACCCAGCTGTGGGTTGAGATGGAGGTCTCATGTATGCCTGGGCTGGCCTTGATCTGTGATCCTTTAATCTCAGCCTCACAAGTAGCTAGGATTACAGACATGAGCTACTGGGCACCTGGCATTTTGATTTATTTTTAAATATGTTCACTAGACAGTTTAAGAGCACATATGTAGTTCAAATTATATTCCCATGGACAGTGCTGCTCTAAACATGGTTCTCAAATGTGTTAGACCAGCAGGGTGCCGGTGCTCATGCCTGTAATCGTAGCTACATAGGAGGCTGAGATCTGAGGACCATAATTCAAAGCCATCCTGGGCTAAAAAGTCTGTGAGACTCTTATTTCTAATAAACTACTTAGAAAAATCCAGAAATAGCACTGTGGCTCAAGTGATCAGAGTGCTAGCCTTGAGCACAAAGAGGCTCAGGGACAGTGCTTAAGCCCTGAGTTCCAGCCCGAGGACTGGCAAAACAAAAAGTGTGGTAGACCAAGAAGATCGACATTGTTTTGGAACTTGTTAGAAGTTAAAATTCTCAGGCCCTTCCCCAGACCCAGGAAATCAGATACTGGAAAGCTGGTGATAGGTCAGGGGTAGGGGATCCAGGCAGTAGTCTGTTTCATTAAACACTTTTGATGGCTACTCATGTGTTGGGGATCACTGTGCCACTGTAGCATGATATTGACCCCTGGGTACCTAAATTCTTTTGTGGCTGATGATGTTGGAGCTTCCAGTTTTCTCTCATCTTTGTGAAATAGAGAGGAACTTCTTAGTTCCTTTAATCTTTGAGGTATTTAACCTTTTTCCTTTTGTGAGCATTCAAATGCAGGTGCTCAGGAGCTTAAATAACAGTGAAACTGCTCATGAAAACACTTAGGAAGTTTATCAAACAACATTGAAGCCCTCCCTGAGATCTTCTGTAATAAGCCAGAAACCTCTGGAGTGCTGAGGCTGTGTTCAGTGACCAGGAAACAATGCCAAAAATGCAGCCATGAGTAGAGAAAGAACACGAATTAGTAACTGAGACCTACTGCCTTTCCCTGTTTGGTATTACATTCAAAAACTAGTTTTCAAGGACAGCTACAACCAGTTTGTAGCCTTTATGATCTACATCTTGGGTAAGCTTCTCATGTGGTCAATCTTTTTCTTCCTTGTGCACAGGACTTCCAGGGTTCCCCTTAAAAACTCTGCTGGCTGTGAGGTTCAGCTCAGTGGTAGAGCATCATCTGCTTAGCATGCATGCAGCCCTGGATTCCATCCCTAGCACCAAAACAAAAACAATAACAAAAAGAAAAAGAAAAAGGAAACCTCTGCTTTGGCAGCTACTGAGGAGGTGAAGGTATTACTTAAATGAAGCCCATTAACTTTTCCTTTGGTGTTTGGGCATCATTTGATTTGGGAAAGGCATATTTTCACAAAATCCAGGACTAGGAAACATTCAACAGATCATACAATAACTTAAATACAACTAGTAATAGTTTTGGACTGGCAGTGCTCCATATCAACTGAGCTGTGTAATGTGCTCATGGTAATACATATTTTAGGGGCTGGGAAGGTGGCTTAGTGGTAGAGTGCTTGCCTTGCATGCATGAGGCCCTGAGTTGATTCCTCAGTACCACATAAGCAGAAAAAGCCAGAAGTGGCGCTGTGGCTCAAGTGGTAGAGCGCTACCCTTGAGCTGAAGATCTGAGGGATAGCACCCAGGCCGAGTTCAGGCCCCAGGACTGGCAAAAAAAAAAAAGTATGTTAATTTGTGCATGTGTGTGTACACATGTGCTTGTTTGCATGCACATGTGGGTATGTGTTTGTATATATGTATGTGTACTGGGGCTTGCAACTCAGGATTTTGTGCTATTACTCAGCTTTTCCTGCTTATGGCTGGTGCTCTATTACTTAAGCTATTCCTCTAGTACCAATTTTTTTGCTGGCTAATTGGAAATAAAAGTCTCTCAGATTTGGGGCTGGGAAGGTGGCTCAGTGGTAGAGCACTTGCCTTGCATGCCTGAAGCCCTGGGTTCGATTCCTCTGCACCACATAAGAAAAAAGCCGGAAGTGGCACTGTGGCTCAAGTGGTAGAGCGCTAGCCTTGAGCTGAAGAGCTGAGAGACAGCGCCCAGGCCCAGAGTTCAGGCCCCACAACCGGACCCCTCCCCCCCCCAAAAAAAGTCTCTCAGATTTGTCTGCCAAGGTTGGCTTCAAACCTTGATCCTCAGCAAGAATTATAGATATAAGCCACCAGCACCCAGCTTGAAATTTCTTTTATTTATTTGCTTCTTTTTTAAACTATGATGAATTATGCTTCGTCAAAATTACATGTGATAAATCCACAGATAAAGTTGGCTTACTGTACTTCATGCTCTAGTTTCTTTTTTTCTTTTTTTGTAAATATAAAATTGCTTCCATTGCTTGCAGTCTAGAGAATCATCTTTGGGAGAAAGACAACAAAGCTGGTGCTCTCTGGCTGAGTTCAACCAGACAACTATGATTGCAACTATGATGATAATGGTGGTAGTGATGCTGATGGTGATGATGAAAACAAATGAAAAAAACGATAATATCTACTAACATTCCCTATGTTCGTGTGTGTGCGCGCGCACGTGTGTGTGTGTGTGTGTGTGTGTGTGTGTGTGTGTGTGTGTGTGTGTGTGTCTGTTTGTATTTGATAGTACTGAGGCTTGAATTCAGGGTGCTGTCCCTTAGCTTTTTCATTCACAGCTGGTGGTCTTCCTCTTTAGCCACAGCTCCTCTTCAGGCTTTTTTTGTTGTTTCTTTTTGGTGTCTGTACCAGGGCTTGAACTCAAAGCCTAGGCACTGTCCCTGAGCTTCTTTTGCTCAAAGCTACCACTCTACCACCTGAGCGATAGTGCTCCTTCTGCTTTTTGTGTTTATGTGGCACTGAGGAATTGAACGGAGGACTTCAGGCTTTTTGATAGTTAATTGGAGATAAGAATTTCACAGCCTTTCCTGATGGGGCTGGCTTTGAACTGTGATCCTCAAATCTCAGCCTCCTGAGTAGCTAGGATTACAGGTATGAACCACTCCCCACCACCGCCATTACCCCCACTCCACTTCTCTATATTCTTAATGAATTTTGAGTTCTTAATTAAAGGCATAATCCTAGAGATAGATATGTTGTTGTTGTTGTTTTTCATTTTAGAGTCAAGGAAGCAGAGTGGTCAGAAGAGATGGATAGGATCTATCTCCTCTAGTTTCTCTAGAGCCTGGTGTATATCTTTTACCACCCCCTGGACTGCCTTCTACCTGAGTGATTTCTGGCAGATAGAAGACCTATGTCCTGGATTCTCTTTTGCATCCCTTTACCAAATAAAAATAAACTAAGCTACAGTATTTAATAATAGTTGCTATTAAGGTAGCTCTAGACATGTCTGTCTCTAGTCTTCAGGTGTGTGTGTGTGTGTGTGTGTGTGTGTGTGTGTGTGTGTGTGTGTGTGGCGTGCTGGTGTTTGACCTCAAGACCTTGTGCTTGCTAGGCAGTCACTCTGTCTCTGAACTATGCCTTCAGCCATTTTTTGCTTTAGTTATTTTGGAGGACAGATTCTCCCTTTCTGCCTAGGTGTGTGCCAGAACCATTATCTACCTATTTAGGCCTCCCATTGTAATCTGGTTAATAGTTACACATCACTGAGCCCAGTGATTGGCCTAGGCATTGGCCTAGACACACAATCCTCCTAATCTCAGTCTCCCAAGTGGCTGGAATTACAGGCATGAGCCACCAGTGCCTATTGCTTAGTAGTATTTTTTAAAGAAGACTTAGCAGTTGTTGAGAGAGTTTATTTGCAGTTTTGTCAATTAGTGCTAAAAGACTCTATCTGGAGTATAAGTATGAACTCATTTAGGAGTCCTTCTCAGACTTTGGTACCTTTCAGCAAATGTTTGTCTTACTGATTTTTGATAGGGAGCGGAGGTATTCTGTTTTCTTCCTGTCAGCCCATAGCAGTGTTTCTCCAGCTTCCATGGAAGTTTCTTTCTTACCTTTGGATACATTTTCTGTATGAAATAATGTAAAGTGCCTTGTATTGAGCACATGGTAGACATTCAGACTATTTCCCTTTCTCTGCTTCCTCCTGATACATATGACTAAGCCATATTTTCTTAGCCCTGAATTTTTGTGTGTTGGCTTTTCCTGCATTTTGTACTTACAACATTTTCCCCCAACCAGAAAAGCAGATTTTTTGTACCCCTTGTTACCATAGCACCCCTTAATAGTTTCACTTTCTGTAGTTTCAGTTTAGCCATGGTGCACAAATATTAAATGGGAAATTCCAGAAATAATTAATCCACAGGCTATAAATTACATGGCATTGTGAGTAGCATGATGAAATCTGCCAATCAGCTGAGCATGTAAATCATGGCTTTGTTGGCCATATCCATGCTGTATGTGCCACCCACCCGCTGGTTACTCAGTAGCCATCTCAGATATCGCATCAGCTGTCCTGGAATCTCAGTGCTTGGGCTCGAGGTTTGCATTATTTTACTTAATAATGGCTGGAAATTCAGGAGTAGCTCTATTAGCAATTTGAATGTGACACATACTGATTCCTTTCAGTAAAAAGGTGAAAGATCTTGACTTAGGTGGGAAAAACATGTATGCTGAGGTGGTCAAGAACTGCACTAGGAATGAAACAACACCTGTGTAGAATTTAGTACTGCCCAGGTTTCAGGCACCCACTGCACATAGGGGAGGCTACTGTATTTGAAGCATGAAGAAGTGGGTCTTACTCTACTCTTGGAAGCAGTTATGGAAGATCATCTCTTGGCATGTGAATAACTGAAGTAATAAGCTTTGCATTTTCTTACTTCACACAGTCAGAGTGCTCAGACTGCTCTCAGTATAGCCACATCCCTGGTCCTCTAGTTCTGTGCAAGTACATTTTGGTCTATGGTCTTCCCTACTGTAAATGGTCTCTTCATCTTCTTCCTTTCCTTCCATCCTCTCTCTAGCTCAAGAGGGCCAGTAGTGAGGACATGCTGGACAAGCCTGGTAGTACCACCTCATCAGGGACAGCACGACTGAAGAAGACTGTGACAGCAGGAGCGATTTCTGAGCTCACAGAGAGCCGCTTGAAGAGCAGCACAGGTATGGGGGAGCCAGAAGGATTGAAGGTCCCAAAAGGCTACTCATCTCAACCCTGAGAAAGAACATCTGTAGTTACACTTGCTGTCCTCATCATATGCTTACTGAGCACTTGGGCTGTGCCAGGCTCTGTTTCAGTATGGAAACAGAGGTCAGTGGTATCGTGGTCCCCAGTAATCCTCTTGTCAGCATATGTGTGTGTGACCCTTCTGGGATCCAGGCAAGGTGGTGTGTCCTGGGTCGTGTTAGATTATTGTTAAAGATGTGCTGTCCATCCCCTCACCATAGTGCAGTTCCCAATGCACTACTACGTTGTCTAACATGGGAAGTAACTGAAGATGCCATTACTGGTGAAGGATAAGGGTCAAAGAGAAGTGGACATAATGATGGTGTTCTCTCCTCACAAAAACATCTGTTCCAGACCACGATCACAAAGGGCTATTTTAATTCCTACAGTTTTCAAAAAGGTGAATCTGTAGAGATTACATATGGCTTTTGGACGTAAAGGGAACAGTCTGGTGTTTCTATATAATAGTTTTACTGTTTTAAGACTGATTTAAGGGCTGGAGGCATGGCTTAATTGGTAAAACACCTGCCTAGCAAGCATGGAGCTCTGAGCTCCAACCCTAATAATGACAAAAAATAAAAATAAAACACTTACTTCACACTGAGCAGACACACGTATACATATACATTTATTTTTTTTTTTTACCTTTAATTTTAAAAGCACAACAGATGAATTTATATCAAGTCAGCCTAACACTGATTCCAAAAGCTAACAGGGAGCTGGGAATGTGGCTTAGTGGTAGAGTGCTTGCCTAGCATGCATGATGCCCTGGGTTTGATTCTTCAGCACCACATAAACAGAAAAGGCTGGAAGTGGCGCTGTGGCTCAAGTAATAGAGAGTTAGCTTTGAGCAAAAGAAGCTCAGGGACAGTGCCCAGGCCCTGAGTTCAAGCCCCAAGACTGGCAACAACAACAACAAAAAAGTTAACAGGGCATCACTGAAATACATAGAGTAATCTCACTCTTAAATGTTTACACAAAGATATGAGATCAGAATATTAGCAAAAAGAGGGGCTGGGAAGGTGGCTCAGTGGTAGAGTGCTTGCCTTGCATGCCTGAAGCCCTGGGTTTGATTCCTCAGCACCACATAAGCAAAAAGAAAAAAAAAGCCGGAAGTGGCGCTGTGGCTCAAGTGGTAGAGCGCTAGCCTTGAGCTGAAGAGCTGAGGGACAGCGCCCAGGCCCAGAGTTCAGGCCCCACGACCGGACCCAAAAAAAAAAAAGAATATTAGCAAAAAGAATGAGATAATAAATGTAAAAAGGTAGTATACAGCATAACCAAGTAGATTTAGGTCATCCAGTAATGAAAGACTATCAGGAATTAGAATATAGCCCATCATGAAATTTTAACATACTCAAGAAAAACCATATGATCATCTTGATAGACATGAAAGATGTATTTGTCACAACTAGCAACCTTTCTGACTTAATAACAAACTCTTGGCAAGCTATAATGTATAGACTTTTACCAAAGAAGTATATATCTTTTCAGGTACCGTGATGAGCACCTATAGTCCCAGCTACTCAGAGGCTAAGCCCATGAGCTTGAAGCCAACTTGGCAACATAGAGACCTCATTCCAATGAGTGTATATATATATATATATATATATATATATATATATATATATATACATACATTCATACATAGCTTTCTTATCAGACACTAGTTAGAAAAGATGGTAATGTAAGAAACAATTCCATTTATGAAAGAAGGAAAATGATTTTTTTAAAAGGTGAGAAATACAGTTAATTGTACAAGAGGCTATCTGTTGTTGTTGAGGTTTTTTGTCAGTCGTGGGGCTTGAACTCGGCCTGGGCACTGTCCCTGAGCTCTTCAACTCAAGGCCAGCACTCTACCACTTGAGCCACAGCACCACTTCTGGTCTTCTGGTGGTTAATTGGAGATAAGTCTCACAGACTTTCCTGCCTGGGTTGGCTTTGAACTGTGATCCTCAGAGCTCAGCCTTCTGAGTAGGTAGGATTATAGGCGTGTCCAGCTGGCTATCTGTTGTTGTTGGTTTTTTTTTTAATTCTAAAATCCTTTTGAAGAACAAGTATATGAGTAGAAGATTATACATGTTTCTGGGCAGGAAGATTAGTAGAAAAGTTTAAGATTAATAGAGTATTAAATGTAATACGGATTTCTAAGTAGTCTATCAATGCATTTTCATCCTAATTAAAATACCAGTAGGAAAACAAGAATAGAACAGTGGTTTTTCATTGGGAGGGGCTCAAATCAGTTCCCACCCCACATTCCAGTGAGCTTTTGGCCTGTCCTAAAGACATTTTTTGGTTGTCACAACCAAGAGATGATACTGACCTCTAGTGGATAGATGTTGCTAAACATCTTACAAGGCATTGAACAGTCCCCAGCAATTATTCTGCCCAGCTGTCAGTGGTACTGCTGTTGAAAATACAACCATGATCTAGAAGAATAAATAACCTACAATAACCAGGAAAATTCTGAAGAATAACAATCAAAGGAATAACCATAAACACTAGTGGAACAACAAAGAAAATCCAGGATGAACTGGTGGATTTATTATAGGGTAAATATCAAGATGGAGAATTCCTTAAAAAAGCAGTGGCTTAGGGGCTTGGAGTGTAGTTCATTGCAGAACATACACATAGGAAGGGACTAAAAGAGAAGAGGAAAGGAGGAGAGGGGAGGTTGGGGAATAGGTGAGAGGGGGTTGGGAAATGGGAAGAGGAAGGGGAGGGGGTGTCAGAGCTTTAGGAAAAAAAAAATCTGGATCTCAATCTCATTTCTCTCATCAAAATAAATCCCAAACGGAGGAAAGCTTTAAATATAAAAAAATGAAAGTACAAAGAGACGAAACATCAAGAGAATTAATTAGTAATCTTAGCCTTGAGTGTTTCTAAGTAGGAACATACACAAAATTATACAGGAATACATGAAAAATGTAATCACACAAATATACAAAGTGCTTTGCTTTGTAAAAAAGAAAAGAGGAAATGTTTGCAATATATGTATCAAAGGGCTGGCTTAGAATAATTTATATAAATCTATAAGAAAAAGAACACAGTAGAAACTGGGTGCTGATAGCTCACACCTGTAATCCTAGCTACTCAGGAGCCAAAAGTGGCTCATGTGGTAGAATGCTAGCTTTGAGGGAAAAATCTCAGGGCCAGTGGCTAGACCCTAAGTTCAAGCCCTAGGACCAACACACACACATACACAAATTATATACTAGAAAAAATATATAGCTCACATAAAAAGAAACACAGATAGAGGGAAGATGCTCCACCTCATTTACGGTTAAAAAATACTAATCAAAACAACAATTATGCATTATTTTCTCTAACAGGTTATCAAAAATTGAAATAATTCATTATTGCTGGGATTCCTAAGGGTGCAAGGACAGCCGGCACTACACATGGTTGATGCACAAGGACAATGCATCAATGCTTTGGGTTTAGCCAAGGGTTTCTGCTGCTTGGCATTATAGTTATTATTTATTAATTCTGTTGCTGCCCTTGTGAATACCAAACATGTGTTCTACAACTGAGCTACACCTTTACCCCTCTACTATTTATTATTTAATATTATAAAATTAATTTGTATTTGAAAAAGGATGCCAGATTTATGAGCCTAATGTTAAGTGGTAAGGTATTGACTACAACATAAGCCTGTATCAGTACAGGCTGTTTTAGTTATGAGGTTTAGGGAAAGTTGAATAGTATGCAGCCATGAAAGTAGACATCGACTTGCCTTACTTGTCTTGATGGTCAAGATAAATTATTAAGTGAGGAAAATAACATAATGTTACATACCATGATCTGATTTGTTTTCATTTTTAAAAGTATATGTTAATGAAATTATGAACTTTTTCTGGAAAAATGTAAAAATAGTTATCTTTGATGAGTTACCAGAATTGAAAGTGGTGAGGGAAGATTACTTTAAGTTTTCCTATATTGTTTGAAAACAATTGAACTCTGGGGTCTGCACTCCTTAGGCAGATGCTCTATCACTTAAGCTATTCCCTGAGCCCTTTTGGTTTTTAGTGTTTCAGATAGAATCTCATACTTTTGCCATGGCTAGCATCAAGCTGTGATCCTCCTAAATCTGCCTCCCAAGTCATTGGGATTATAGGTATGTACAACCTGCCTGATTCTGAAAACATAACATAGGTTCTTATTTTTTTTAATCAATTAAGTAAGCTGGGAAGGTGGCTCAGCAGTAGAGTGTTTGCCTTGCATGCATGAGGCCCTGGGTTCAATTCCTCGGCAATATATAAGCAGAAAAAGCCAGAAGTGGTAGAGCACTAGCCTTGAGCTGAAGAGCTCAGGGACAGCGCCCAGGCCTAGAGTTCAAGCCCCACAACCAACCAAAAAAAAATTAAGTAAATATGAGTTATAACCTAACCTTTCCCCTCCTTCTTGAATTTTGTGGTATTTCTTAACCATTTGTTGCTGAGTTACTTGATAATTTGCTCGTAACATGTGTTTCTTTATTTAGGATTCTAGCTGAAGACCTTAGCTTAATTCTATTTCCTAATATGGACAAGTTCCCATATGCATGGGCACCAGCCTCCTTGTTTATCAAATGAAGTGACTACAGATCCACCACCTAGGATGTTCTTGGAGTGGTACTCATGACTACTGCTTAGACCATAATGAACTATTGAAATAAAAGAGACTGCTGTCCTCCTGGCTACTCAGATTCACTTTCTTAGTGTATCTATTTTACTGAAATTAATTGTTTTACTTCATAGGCTTGATTTAAATTTTGGTCTCTAGAGGTTTCAGTCAGTTAGTTTTGCAGGGCTAGTAATGGAGTCTTCAACTTCACATGTGCTAGGAAAGTGCTTTCCCACTGAGATTTACTACCAGCTTTGGAGGTTTCTTTGTTGGGTTTTTTGGAGGTTTTATTTTTAAATACGGTGTCCTCAACATTTGCATACCAGCATCTGGA